CCTAAAAACTAAAAATTTACAGCCAATTTTGAAAGAGATGCATCCTACCTCAGGAAACCGTTATTGAATATGTCAATTGTGTTGTAATGATATGCTTCTTCTAAGTATGTTGTTATTAAATAAATAATAATTAAAAAAAGGCCATCAACTAAAAGCTGATGACTCATCAAAACCCCAAAAATAGGGCCTGGAGAGATGGCTTAGTGGTTAAGAGCACTGGCTGCTCTTGCAGAAGACCTGGGTTTGATTCCCAGCACCCACATGGCAGCTAACAACTGTCTGTAATTCCAGTTCCAAGGGAATCTGATGCCCTTTTCTAACATCAGGCATTGAAGGACATGGGTGCACTTACATGTATGCAAATAATACACTCATATACATAGAATAAAAATAATAAAAATATATTTTTTCAGAAGACCACCTTAAAACAAAATGCTGACTGAACAGGTTGAGTGCCTTCACCAGAAGTTTAGGGGGATTTATTACAATTTTTCAAGAGCTTTCAGAGTCTTCTGATGCACTTCAATTTTGTAGGATCAGTATTTGAAATAACCCTAAATTCTGCCATCTTTCTGTGATAGACTCACTTGAGTATAACAATAGGAGTCATCTGGTGTACTGGATTTGCATCATGCTTATTTTCACTCATGTGGTAATTGTGACAGCTGGGCCACAGTCTCCACTATGATAAAGCTCCTGGCCAGAGCTTCCTCTGAGCAAAGGGAAATTTTTGTGGGCTCTTGCCTGCTGCTGCCCTGACATCAGACTCACAGGTTAGGGTGTTGTCCCAGACCACCCAACATGCCTTTGTGGGAGTCCCCCCAACCCCCTGAGCAGGGTTAAGACCTTTTCGTCTAGAGCCCCGTGGCTCAGGAGGACAGAGTCCTCCAAGATACTTGGATTTGGTAAGCCACAGGGAAGGAAGAGGCTTTCTGGGGAAAACCCAAGAGGAGAGTCCCATCATTTTTATGTCCTCATCCAAACCTGCTTTCCTACCACATGCAGGAGAGTGTCCTGCTCAGACTTGGGGCTCTTTCAAGAAGGCCACTCCTTCAGGGATGGCAGGCAAGATGGGCCCTGAGAAGAGGGCAAGGCTGTAGGTGGCTAGAGGAAGCTGGTAGCAGATCTGTGGTGCAGGCCCTTCCTGCCTTCCTCTTGGGAGTACGAGGGAGCTCCTGGAACCCAAGGAAACCAGTCTTCACTCTTCAACTTGCCATCCAGGAAATCCTGGACAGGTTACCTCACATCATCTATTTTCTGATCTATTATATGCGGTCAGATACTTGCCTCTCAGAGGGAGGCACTGTAAGGGTTCAAAGGAAACTCTTCAAATGCCTGAGTTGGTACAAATTCACACTCAGGTTTGCTCGTTGTGTGGAATGAATATGGATCAGTTACCTTAAGGCAACTTATGCTTAAGGCATAAGTTGTCAGTGGCTTATGCTGGTATTGATGACGGTCCACAGGAAATAAATGAACACAGGTGTCCTACCCAGGACTCTTCTGGGTATCAACCATTATGTCCACACATTTGTACCACATTCCCACATTCTTTCATAGCTACAGCCGCTATTTGGGACACACAGGAACCCCTAGAGACATGTAGATTCTTTGTTCCCATTCTTTTAAATTTATTCTCCAGATATTTTCACACATGTGCACATCTGTACATTCTTTTAACTACTTTAAAAAATTATGTGTATTTTGCCTGCATGTATGGAAGTGCACCACACATGTGCAATGCCCAGCAGAGGCCAGAAGATGGTGTTGGATCCCCTAGAACTGGAGTACAGATGTTTATTAACTGCCATGTGGGTGCTGGGAATCGAACCCAGGTCTTCTGGAAAAACAAGTGTTCTTAACTGCTGAGCCATCTCTCCAGCCCACACATCTGTAAATTCTTTATATTTTGTAATATCAAAATGTTTAAACTTTTAAATCTAAGTATTAATCTGTGGTTTATCTATACAGTGAGGAATTTGCATAAATTTAACAAAATAAGGCTGTTCTATATGTACTTATGGAATGATTTCCAGGCAAAGAACAGGGTCAACAAGATGGCTCAGTGGGTTAAACACCTTGTCACCAAGCCTGACAACCTTGAGTTTGATCCGTGGAACCCACATGATGGGAGGAGAAACCAGCTCCTGTAAATTGTCCTCTGATTTCACATGTGCCAAAGCACTTGAAATCCCCCCACACATACAAAATAGATAAACATAAAAAAAAATTTTTTTTGACACAGGGTCTCCTAGCCCCAGCGGGCCTAGAATTCACTTTGTAGACCAGGCTGGCCTCGAACTCAGAGATCCGCCTACCTCTGCCTCCCAAGTGCTGGGATTAAAGGCGTGCCACCACCACACCAGGCTATAAAAAAATTTTAAAGCAACAGAAAAACAACTATAATGTGAAGGTTATTTTTAGAAGTTGTTTTAAGTATATGTAGCATTTAAAAGGAACTCAGAATAGGGTAGAGGGATTACTCTTTCTCTGAATTCAACAAGTGCTTTTAGCATGGTTACCAAGCACATCTGTCACCTACTCCAAAATTTAAGCAGAAAGGATAATTTTTTTAAAAAAAGCTTTTCTAAAAGAACATCTTCCTTTCTTCCAGATCACAAGGTTAGAAAAAACATGGACTGCGCTGCGACACCAGCACACCCAGACAGCCATCCTCTATGAGAAGCAGCTAAAGCCCTTCAGCAAAGTCCTGCATGAAGGCCGAGGTGGGCACAGAGGGCAGGACAGACCCAGGAGGGCAGGGAGGGCACAGGAGGGCAGGGAGGGCACAGGAGGGCAGGGTGGGCACAGGAGGGCAGGGTGGGCACAGGAGGGCAGGGAGGGCACCAGTGGGTGCTCTGTGTACTCTCCTGTTCTGCTTGTCAGAGCATTATTTTAACAGGACACCCATAAGGCCCTGGGTCATCCACAGGGCTGATGCTGGCTCATCCAGCCTTTTATCACACAATAGCATTATTTATAGAGGTCTGCAGTTGCTGTCATAAAACTTGGGCTAGTAGTCCAGCCCGTATAAACTTTCCAAAAAATGATATGGAAACTTTGCACCCTGCTCCCCAGAGTCCACGTGTGTCCCCCCAAGCAGCATATCAGTCCCACTGTTGATGCCTCTCGTGACCTTGATGGAGCGCCAGGCTGTCACTTTTGAAGGAACTGACATGTGGGAAAAAAATGATCAAAGCTGTGAAATTATGCTCAACCATTTGGCAACAGCCCGGTTCATGGCTGGGGCTGCAGACAGCTACCGGATGAATGCCGAGAGGATCCTGGCAGGTAGGGACTGTTTCTGGAAGCTGCTCTCTGCTCAGGGTAATAATTCCATAATGGCATATGCGTGTGTGTATGTGTGCATGTGCATGTACATGTGTGCAAGTGGGGGCAGAAGTCAACATCAGATGTCATGTCTCTCTTGTTCTTCTTTTGAGACAGGGTCACTCACTGGCTTGGAATTTACCATGTAAACTAGGCTGGCCAGTCAGCCAGCGGTTAAACCCCAGGGATTCCCCCTGGGTCCATTGTCCTAGTACTGAGATTGCAGGCCCATACCCTGCCTGGCTTTTTAAAGTTTTATTTTTATTATTTTAAATTATGTATGTATGTATGTATGTTCCTTTGTACGTGCACATGATTGCGGGTACCTGCAGAGGCCAGAAGACTGATCCCCTGGAGGTAGAATTACAAGCAATTGCAGTGAGCCGCTTGATGTGGGTGCTGGCAACTAAACTGGGGTGCTCTTAACCACTGAGCCACCTCTCTAGCCCTCATGTTCAGCTTTTTTAAGTAGTTCTGTGTATTGAACTCAGGACCTTGTTTGTACAGCAAGCGCTTTACTGACAGAGCCATCTCCCCAGCCTGGAATTTTTGTGCATATGTGCCATTATACTTAGTTCTAATTCATCCTGCCTCCCCCAAACTACTTCCTGTAATTCCAGATGATTCAAGAGTCCTGTTTCTCCTTTCTGTCTATGGGTTCTGTTCCATTAGTGGGATAGAGTACACAGAAAGGCAGAGTCAAGAAAGGATGTCCACCACCAGTGCCTGGGAAAGGTGATGGCCAACAGGAATTTTATGTCGACTTTATTGTTTGTATTCTGGTTTTCTTTCTCTAGCCACCCCAGCTCCAAGGGCCTGACACATCCTGGAAAGTGTTGGACAGAGTATTGTGGGAACTGAACTTTCTTTGATTGTGAGGTAGAAAGCTGATTCCTCAGCTGAACATTTATCATAGGCCTGGTATATGCACTGTACCAGGCTAAGTGGCAGTGCCTGAGGTGCCTTGAGGCATGTAAACGGGTACTTCAGCCCACAGTGGAAGTGTAGAGAGTGCTATGGAACACTTAGGAAAGGTAACCGATTGGGCCAGAGGCAAGTAGAGAGGAGGAAGCATGTGGGCATAATTTCCAGAAAAGTCTTCTGCTGTTTCATGGTTTTTGTTTTGTTTTTAGATAGGGTCTCATATATATCGCATACAGCCAATGATGACCTTGAACTTTTTTTTTTGTCTTTTTGAGACAGGGTCTCCCTGTAGTCCCAGCTGACCTAAACTCACTATTTAGACTAGGCTGGCCTTGAACTCTCAAGGATTTGCCTGCCTCTGCCTCCTTCAAAGGCGTGTGCTACCACGCCTGGCTGACCTTGAACTTTTTAATCCTACCGGAATTATAGGTGTGAGACACCATGTCTGGTTAATGAGGTGCTGCAGATTGACCCCAGGGCTTCAGCATGTTAGGCAGGCCCTCTGTACCAACTGAATTACATCCCCAGCCTCTTTCAGTTATTAAAACACAAAAGTTGCCTGCCACAAAGCAGGGATGGGATAAATTGGGAATTCTGCCCAGAGGGTGGGACTAAGTTCTGAGAGGGAAGGGTGAGAACAGCGGTGTGAAGTGTGACCTAAGGAATGGCCAGCTGAAGACAGACTGAGGGCTGTGGCTTAGGAAGAAGGGTTTAAACATGGGAGGGAGCCACCTGATCTGATTTCTGTTTTTGTTTTTCTTATATGTATGTGTGTATTGCCTGCATTTATGTAAGTGCATCTGTGTCGTGCAATGCCCACTGAGGACAGAAGAGGGCATTGGATCCCCTAGAACTGGAGTTACAGACAGTTTTTAGCTGCCATGTGGGTGCTGGGATTTGAACCTAGGTCTTCAGCAAGAAGAGCCAGTGTTGTTAACCTCTGAGCCCTCCAAACCCCTGATTTATGTTTTAATATGTTTTATTTATTATTTTTATTTTATGTGTATGAATGTATTGCCTGCCTGAATGTGAGTGCACCCGTGTCGTGCAGTGCCGCAGAGGTCAGAAGAGGGCTTCATATTCCCCTGGAACTGGAGTTAAGGATGGTTCATAGTTGCTATGTGGGTTCTGGGAATCGAACCCAGGTCCTCTGCAAGAGCAGTCAGTGCCCTTAACAGCTGAGCCATCTCTCCAGCCCCCTGATTTGTTTTAAACTGAGTCACCCTGGTAACTGTGTGGAGGAAGGCTACAGGGCTGAAAGGCAAAAAGCCCCTTTAAGAAGAGAGTGCTTGGGTGGGGGGTTGGAGAAACAGAATCAGTACAGAAATAAATCATTAAGGAAATGTAAATTTTGACTGCACTGAGATACCCAGAATGCCTAAAACAAAGAACTGTAAGTCAGATGTGGAGGGGCTGGAGAGAGGGCTCAGCTGTTAAGAGCACTGTCTTGCAGAGGACCCGGGTTCGATTCCCAGCACCCACATAGCAACTATGAACCGTCCTTAACTCCAGTTCCAGGGGAATCCAAAGCCTCTTCTGACCTCTGTGGCATTGCACGACACAGGTGCACTCACATTCAGGCAGGCAATACACTCATACACATAAAAATAATAAAATTTTTTAAAAGATGTGGAGAAATGAAAATCCTCATATGTTAATGGTGTGAATATAAAATGGAAGAGTTTGTGATAAATTTTAAAAAGCATATGCTTACATTTGACCCAATAATTCCACTCCTAGGGAAATGAAAACACATGTCCACACATAGACATGTGCACAAATGTTGACATTACTATCCCAGTAATGCCAGTAACTGGACACAATTTAAATGGTCATCAGGTAGTTATCATCAGTTCATCATTTTGAATGGATAAACAAAATCTGGTATACACATGTAAATGCCCACTAATCAGCCATAAAAAGGAGTGTATCACTGATACCATGCAGCATACAGAACAGTCTGAAAGCCATCACGCTAAGCGAAAGAAGCCTGGTAGAGCAGTCCCTATCAGATGAGTCTGTTTACCAGGTTTCTAAAGAAGCAAGTAACAGAAAGCTGATCTGTCTGGGACCTGGGGAAGGAACACTGATTGGCTGTCTTAGCGGTGCAAGGGAACTGTATAGGCTGAAAGAAGTATTCTAAAACTAAAATTGACAGTATAAACCAAACTTTGCAACTAAGATAAATGAATCATCTGTTATGTAAATTTTGTATCTGCAAAGTTATTGAAAAATCCAAACAAGGTGCCACCAATACCCCTCCTAGTGCCACAACCCACAGCAGCTCAGGTACACAGATTACATTACATCCTGTTCAGTGAGTGGACTTACTTCTTCTTTAAAGCTGCCCCAGGTCAGGTTCTTGAGGGCGTATAAGCAGGTCATATATATATATATAATATATATTTGGTCTTTTTGAGACAGGGTCTCCCTGTAGCCCCAGGTGTCCTGGAATTCACTATGTAGACCAGGCTGGCCTTGAACTCACAGAGATCCACCTGCCTCTGCCTCCCAAGTGCTGGGATTAAAGGCGTACACCACCATTTTTTTTTTTATATAATTCTGAAAGAGGAAGCTTGTTTTGATCCTATTTTAAAACAAGTTTTCAGCCATTTTTATCCCCTAGATTTTAAGCAGAACTCAAGTTTTCTGTTCGTTTTGATTAGGTTTTCAACCAGATGAAGAAATGAGTGAAATCTTCAAGACTGAATTTCAGATGCGATTGCTGTGGGGCAGCAAGGGTGCAGCCGTGAATCAGACAGAGAGGTATGAGAAGTTCAACCAGATCTTAACAGCCCTCTCACGTAAATTGGAACCGCCTCCCATAAAGCAGGCTGAGATGTGAGAACTCGCCAGAAGACCTTGGGGTGTCACCTGAAACTTCTCCAGTTGTTTCTTTGGGAAAGTTTAGCATCTGATAAAGTTATTACATGCAAATCTGGCAATATGCAAGCTTTTAATATCCACAGGATATTAAATATGTAAATTATACAGAACACACTTATTTATGAACTGTTTAAAATTACTACTGATTTTAAATGAATGGTAATTTATTTTTAAGGTAACTATTGCTAATGCTGATCAGCAAATTTAAGAGATGATCTAGCTATGTTGGCTGGTTGTTGTTTTATTATCATGGTATTTGACTGTCTTTGTTTTAATTCCATGTCAGATAAATGTAAATAGAAGCATTTAAAAAGAAAAGCTTGAAACATTTCAGAAGGTATCAGTTATATGATATTCCTTAAATAAATATGAAACTGTAAATAGTCATGAATGAAAATATATCTTTTTGTGAAACAGTTGTATCCTGTCTCTTCAATATTAACTCAATTTAGAATGGCAATTCTACCTCCCAGCTTCTAAGGGACTGTCTTCCCTGTCCTCATAGTAAACCAAAATTAACAAAAGTAGCTTGGAAATCCAAGGGTTCTGCTTTAAGAGACAGAATGAATAGTGGGCCAAGTTCCTGGTTCCACAAAACCTAGGTTCAAACTCAAGGTCAAGCACTTGCTAGCAGTTGGACTGACCACCAAGATGTCAGCTGCCATTCTATTTCATGACATCTCTTCAGTGACAGTCTAGTCTTCCCCGTGGGCTACCAACCTCGTCTCCTCTGGAAACCCCTCCCAGACACACTCGGATCAGAATGCTTTCCTATCACAGGTCTTTAGGGATCCCGTAACCCATTTATATTAGTTACTTTCTGTTGCTGTGATAAACTATCATAACCAAAAGCAACTTAGGGATGAAAGGGTTTATTTTTGGCTTATGGTTCCAGAGCAGGGGAGTCCATCATGGTGGGAAGGCATGGCAACAAGCAGGGAGAGCATGGTGGCAGGAGCAGGAAGCCAGGTGATCACATTTGCATCCACACATAGGAAGCAGACAATGGGAACAGGAAGTGCTGTGGAGGCTATAACCCTCAAAACCAAGTACTTCCTCCAGCAGAGCTCTGCCTCCTAAAGGTCCCATAACCTCCCCAAACAGCGCCATCAACTAGGCCGCAAGTGTTCAAATATATGAGCCTACAGGGGACATTTCTCATTCAAACCACCAAGTGTTCTAGCAGATTAGGAATCACCCCATGAAGGCAAACTCAACAGTTTTTAGAATGTATAATATCTACTTTACTTTCAATCAACAAGAATTTAAGTTAGAAAGAAAAAGCATACGAATTATCCTTTTCTGTAGTTAATAAATACAGAAATAGTGCAGACTTATTTTCTAGGTTTCTGGCTTCCCAAAGAGCATACTATCTAGTATTTTAATACCCCTCTCATGTTTTTCCTCTTGTAAAAAGGTTAGAGCTCAAAATTTTAAAATATTCTATCACCAACTGTAAAACACTTAACTGTTTTCCTATTTAAATATTTGAATGATATTAGCTGGGCATGTGCATGCCTTTAATCCCAGCATGCCAGATCTGAGTTCAAGGCCAGCCTGGCCTACATAATTCCAGGCCAGTTGGGGCTACTGGGTGACCCTATCTCAAAAAGGCAAAAAAAATTTTTTTTTGAATGACACCAAGTTTTGGACCCTAAAGCAAGCCATGAAAATTTCTTCACAATATTAAATAGCCCTTGGAAAAACATGACTTTTTGGCTATAGATGTTACACTATAACTTGCTCAGGAATTAAATATTCCTACTAGTACCACATATGAGACTCTCATTGTGATCAGTTTAATATAATGGAAATATTAGTTTCAAATCCTAGACTCTGCTTCTTCTCAATGCAGTCTAGAATCATGAGGGTCTGCCCCCTTTGAAAGGTGCCATTACTTTTGTATGTCTGTATTTGTGTGTATTGTATGTACTTGTTTGTGAGTGTGTACAGATGTGTATGCCCCTGCATACATGTATGTGGAGGTCAGTGTTAAGTGCCTTTCTCGATTTTGAGGCTATCTTTTTTTTGAGATATGATTTGGCTATGGTGGTTGGACACTGACCTTGAGGGATCCTCCTGTCTATACTCCATCCCTGCCCTGGGGTTTATGGATGTGTACCCCACGCCTGGCTTTTATGTGAGTGCTGAGGACCTACACCCACGTTCCCATGCTTGCATACCAGGTACTTTACCCACTGAGCCATCTCCCTAGCATTTGTTTTTTATGAGAAAGAGGCTCATGTAGCCCAGGCTGGCCTCCAACTCATTGTGTAGCCAAGAATGATGTTGAACTTGTGATTCTCCCACTTCTATCTCCCAATACTGTGATGACAGGCATGTGCCACCACATCCCACCTACATTTTCTTTAATTATTGGAAAAAGCTTAAGTATGCATATACTTTGGGCATATAATGATTCAGATACTCTTAGAAAGCCTTCTCACCAAAAAATACTAAGTGTTAATAAATGTGCCTTATAATGCACTGTTGAGCTCAACAGAATGAAAGTTCTCTAGGAATACCCTAGGAGTACCTCAAAACGAAATCACCTGTAAGTGCACTTAAAGATAAACCTGGAGGCAAATGCTAAAGTCAGTCCATCCAATGGGAGACTGTCTTGGAGGAGCTACACTTGAAATGCACCCAGGAACAGGGATCTTAAAGGGAGCTTGTCAGTGGGTTGGGATAGGGCATCCATCTGCCAGCAACGGGAGGATACCAGCTGGATACCAGGTATATTCTGGCTCTCCAGAGAGACAGAAGCAAAAGAGTTCTACAGAGAGATAGGTGGGGGGATTTAGTGGGGGGATTTAGTGGGGGAACTGGCTTACACTGGACACCCTGGAATGATATAACCTAGTTCAGTCCAACTCTGAATGCCTTAGAATCAAGAAAGACAATGGGGTAACTCAGTCCAGGGCAAAGGCCTGAGAAGCTGCGAACCCCTGGTGTTAAGCACTGGAGGTCAAAGGCCAGCAAGGCAAGAGTCATTAAGTCCAAGGGCAAGAATAGTGTCTGGGCTCCAGAAAAGAACGGTGGTATCTGTCTGTGTGTTTGTGTATGTGAGTGCAAGAGGCTAAGGAGGCCAAAAGAGGGTGTTGGATTCCCTGAAGGTAGTTACAGGCAGTTGTGAACCACCTAATGTGGGTGCTGGGAACTGAACTCAGGTCCTCTGAAAGAGCAGTACATGCTCCTATCCATTGAACCAGCTTTCCAGCCCAAATAAGAACTTCTTAAAACAGATATTTTAAAAAGGAGCTGGAAAGATGGCTCAGGAGTTAAGAACACCCACATGACAGAAAAACCATCCATAACTCCAGCTCCAGGGAATCTGACACCCTCTTCTGGCCTCTGTGGGCATTGCATACATGCATACATTTACATAAATACAGGCAAGACACTCATACAGATGGCTCAGCAGTTAAAAGCACTGGCTGCTCTTGCAGAGGACTTGAGTTCAGTCCCCAGCACCCACATGGCGGCTAACAACCATCAGTAACTCCAGTTCCAGGGCATCCAACACCCTCTTCTGACCACTGTGGTATTGCATGACACAGGTACACTTAAACACATGCAGGTAAAACACTCATACATATAAAAATAAAAATATTTTGTTTTAAATTTTAAGTAGATAAAAAAGAAATAGTTATGAAAGACTAGTTAATATGCATTAAAATGAATAACTTCATCAAAAGACACCAGAGAAACTGAAAAAACAAAACAGATATTAACAAATAAAACTGACAGGAGATTAGTATGACAGGCAGCCTCTGAGCAGGCCCCAGTGTTTCCTGCCTCCCGGTACTAACATCCTTGTGTTGTTTATTCCCATACTATGCTAGGGTTACTCAGTGTGATCACAAACATACAGCAGAAATAATGGCATATCATACCTGAGATTTGGGTGCAAAAGATTCAGTCTCCAGATTTTCACCCTGTGGGATGACTCACTGGGGGAAGCAAGATGTTACACTGACAGCATCCCAACAAAAACGTCGTGATGGTAAGAAACCAACCAGAAGCCAGTAAGGAGCTGGGCCCTATCAACAACCCAAAAATGATCTTATGGTGGATTCTCCAGTCCCAGGCAAGCCGTGAGAAAATCTGAGCCCCAACTAGATGACTATGTTACAAACCTGGCTGTTGTTTACTAGTACAAATAAATACAATTAGCATCCTTAATACGTTAAGAACTGCGATGAAAGACAACCAACCAAAGGGAAAGAATGATCAAAGATTAAAAATGGGCTTTTCACAGAAGGGTAAACATGGTAAACATGTAAAGATGCCCAGCATTAGTAACCAGGGAAGTCCAAACTACAAGGTTTCACATTCTTTGATGACTGAAAAGTCTGACTCCTAAGTATTGGTTAAGTTGTAGAACAAGTAACTCTAGTACAGAAATTGCTAGAATGTAAAAATACTATAATAAGTTGGGAGTTAAATATGACATTACTAATATACTCATAAATTAGGAATTCTACTTCCAGGTATATATTTCATCAATACACCCATGTCAATAAATACACAAGATGTTCTCAATGGCATTGTTTATATTAGCCAAAGTCCAGGAAATAGCTCAAATGTCTAAGATGATGGATAAATTGTATATATTTGTCTAACAGTGTTATACACAGTAAAATGAACTATGCATGTATGTGGATAATGTCACAAAGAACTGAGTGAAAAGCAGTCTTCAATTAGAAATATTCAAAGTATTTAACAAGTGAGCTGTTAATAAATTATATCCATAATACACAAAAAGTATATAAGCCAGTGCACAAACCAAGTAAAATGAGTCCTTAATACATTTTTCAATAAACTACATAATAAAACTATCAAGAGATAAAAGGAGGCCAGCTCATTCGTCAATTGCCAACAATTTTCAAACCCTTTCTTTCCTTGATGCGTAGCACACTCCTGCTTGCTATAACTGGCACTAGGCATGATGCTTGTATGGCTCCACTCAGGGAAGTGCCAGCTCTTCCAGTGACTGCCTTCTCTGAATGTCACTAATTTACTAATGTCCTGTCTGGCACCTCAATAGAGGAGTCAGGCAGTGATCCCCGGAGACAGTATAGCACCATCTGGGTGCTGGCTACCCTGCTCAGAGCAATGGCCAGAGCGCTAAGCACAGAAGAGTGGAGCAAGGAGGGCGTGCAGTGGTGGGTACTGCTGATGGGAGCTCATGCCCTGGCTCATTCCACACCCAGAAAGATTGTACTTAACTGGCCAGTGACACTGCTCCCTGATCAAATGTCTGTCTGTTGCGATGGAGAATAAACACTAAAGGGGAGGGAGGGAGACTCAAAACACTGATAAGATGGCCAGGGCTTCCTCTGGCCCTGAGTCAGAGAAACTTGGTCTACCCAGCAGGCCAGTGGAGGGTGCAGGGGTGGACTGTGGAGGTGACCAG